GTAGGTTAAGCACCCGGTATACTTAAGGCTGTGGAAAAGGGTCCTCGACTTAGCGTTAGAATACAGACAAGGTTACAGTCAATGTATGAGTCATCCGGTACATGTTTTCTAAGTCGCAGCAAATGTATTCCATGTACTACGTCCCTATGCTCATGTTTATTGATTACTCCCGCAATATATTATTAAACAAAATTATTTGTTTAATATAGTTTAATTATTAAAAAATGTTTGTTTACCAGTCTCATATAGTTATTTGGTTTTTAAATAATTTGTGTGTAGAATTCCTACGGTTTCCTTCCCCCTTTTTTTATGTGTTTCAAGAGTGAAAGGGTTAAGGATTCACATCTTCTTTGTTTTCAGTTTCCCCATAATTTCATCCTTCATTGTTCTAGGAAATAACTGTGCCATTCACTAAATGTTTGTTTTCATTTTCCTGCACAGATTTGCGGCTGGATGCCTCAAGATTAGAAAACTCAACATCACTTGAACATACAAGCATCGAAGCCCAGTCTGATCCAACCGTAGCAGCCTTGAGAGACGCAGATGATTCTCTACCATATGACATGATAAATGATAGTGCTGAGAGCAGCTCTCCCACTGGGGCTCACACACTCGCAAGCAGTGGTACTCCAGCAGCGGACAACCTCAGGAACAACCAGATCTGTGATCCACCCCCACCTTATGAAAGTGGCTCCTATGTCCAGATTACAGGCGGACACAGACATGACCCTCGAAGGGTTCCTCACATAAAAAATGATCGTCTGGGATATCTCTAGATGTGTCTTCCTGGAACCTTTGTCAGTGACCATGTTGATTCACTCAGTGGCTGGTACAATAATCTAGGATATCTTTAGATGTGACTTCCTGGAACCTTTGTCAGTGACCTTGTTGATTTACTCAGTGGCTGGTACGATCGTCTAGGATATCTTTAGATGTGTCTTCCTGGAACCTTTGTCAGTGACCATGTTAGTTCACTCAGTGGCTGGTACAATAATCTAGGATATCTTTAGATGTGTCTTCCTGGAACCCTTGTCAGTGACCTTGTTGACTCACTCAGTGGCTGGTATGATCGTCTAGGATATCTTTAGATGTGTCTTCCTGGAACCTTTGTCAGTGACCATGTTGATTCACTCCGTGGCTGGTATGATCGTCTAGGATATCTTTAGATGTCTTCCTGGAACCTTTGTCAGTGACCTTGTTGACTCACTCAGTGGCTGGTACGATCATCTAGGATATCTTTAGATGTGTCTTCCTGGAACCTTTGTCAGTGACCTTGTTGATTCTCTCAGTGGCTGGTATGATGGTCTACATTTGTACTTTGATCAGCTCAATTTTATATTGCTAAAGACCATGTTATGATCTGGTCTAAAAAAGAACTGCCCTCAATGTACTGACAGAAATCACTGTTATTGCTTGGCTTCTGCCCCACTGATCACAACAGATCAGTTTTAGCTCAATGCACAAGTTCCTATAGCACAGCCAAGAATTCAGTTGCGTGTATATCAGAATCAAAAATACTTTAAATGTTGTTTTTTTGGAGTTGGTTTTCTAATAAATTTTTTTTTTTAAATTCTGTCTGTGTATCAGTCTGTTTGGTCTACTGTTTCTGATTTGTAACAGAGGATTATTAACTTACATACAGGAGAGGGTGGGGAGATATTTCACATGTGTGCAGCTGTCATATGGAAACTCCTATTTTTCTGTCTAAATCTTCTTTTTGATGTTCAACAGATTTTTGACAGAAAGCTTTGCATGCACATCTGTTTTACAGATCTGGCTTATTTGTGTGCTGATTGTTTGTTCTTTGCCTCTCACATACTCTGATTTGAAGGAAGTGGTGTGATTATAAAATATGCAGCCAGTCGTGCTTTAAATGCCACTGACAGAATTTACATGTGTTTAAAAAAAAAAAAAATTTACAGATATTTGTGTTGCAGGCATTTTATCTGCATAGTTCGTACATTCCACTAACTGACATTCCAGTTGTATAAACAAACATTGCATTGTAAATAATTTGCTTTTTAAGTGTGAATAGTTTTTAATACTGATGAGGGTTTGTACCTAACATTATCATCAGGTGTTTTAACCCAGGGACTGGTTGTCAAGCTTTCTGATCATTCCATTTCCCAATTCTCTACTTTGTGTTATTGTCTTTACCCTTTTTGTCTCAGAATCCATGGTAAGCAATGGGGACATAACCTGGAATTCCTAAGAAAATTATGTTTTAAAAAATAAATATAATCTTTTACTAAAGTGAATACTAAATTTCAAATGGTCAGATTTCCAAACCAATACACAAATAAGGCAAGAATCCAGGCAAGAGTATGTGTCTAATTTTTTACAAAAACGCCGCTGGAACTATGTCGCCCACGCCCTTAGAATGGATAAATCAAGACTTCCTTACCAAGCCCTCATTTGGACACCACAGGGGAAAAGATCTCGTGGAAGACCAAGGGAAACTCTACGTAGAACTGTCATCAGGGAAGGCTCGCTCATGGGCCACTCAAACATCTAAGACCTACAACAGATTGCAACGAACCGCCATGCATGGAGAGTCATGACCTCTGCCCTATGTGCTGCACTCGACACAAAAGGAAAGACTAACAAACTAACTAACTTACTAAAGTCATTAAAAATAAATTTTGTGATTTTTTTTTTTAACCTGGTGTAAAAATATTTCTCCTCCTTCTTTGTTCACTAACTGCATGCTCCCGCAGAAAATCCTGGTTGTTTGTCCATTTCAACTTTGGCTTCGTGCCAGGTTCTGAGTTTTGCGTGCAGATCTGTTTTACTGGCTTATTTGTGTGCAGCTGGTTGTTCCTTGCTGCTCAGGCAGATGAACTCCAACTTCGAAGGAAGTTCCCAATTAGTGGACTCCTATGACATGCTTGTTGGGGGAGGCAGTTTTCCCCCATAAGGGTGCCCCGGAACCCACACAGGGAGTAAAAATATATGAAAGAAACAGATCAGTGAAGCAGAACCGAAAAGAGAATTAATTATATACATTTCCACGGTTACAATTTTTGTCAAGTACTGCGGTTAAAAAATGACAAATTATCATACCATAATTTTTCATTTTTACAGTAAAAATCCTTCAAATTATATTTTTGGGGAAAATGAATCATATCCAGCCTATTTAAACACTGCAATAGTATTTCGCAAAAAAAAGCAGTATAAGCATAGCAGGTACTGGATAGTACCGTAAAGGCAAAACATAGGCTTCTGCGGGTTGAAGGGTTATTTCCATGTACGTCTGCATTGATATACCTGTTTTACAAATGCTCGAAGTGCTAAATTAAATAAAATTTGAATAGAAAGCTCAACGGAGGAATTGGAAAAGATGCCCACAAATACAACTGAAGGTTTCAACTAAAGTCTTTATCAGTGTGGCAGTAAATATTCCATGAACTTTTGACTGGAAAACTGGGCAGACAAGACAACATTATGTTGTACTTAGTACTCCGTTGATAAAGACTTTGGTTGAAACAATTAGTTGTATCTGTGTGCATCTTTTCCATTTCCTCTGGTGAGCTTTCTGTTTACAACTGATGTTGTATGTAGCTCTTTCACCACAGGACTGCGGTCACCCTGTACTTACATCATCATTATTAATGCTTCGACTGTCCCTTTCCGATTTTCTCATCCATATCTGGTACTGTCTTTGATATTTCTTTATGGGTGTGACCAAGCCTTGAGGATTCTCCGCTGTTTGATCACTTGAATCAATCTTTTTGCTTGGTTATATATTTCAATAATTATTCACTTGAGTGTATCTGTGACTCCATATGTGACTGTCAGCATGTCTATGGGTGTTAGCATCAATATATGTATGGATTTGTATAAGTTGTCCGTGTAAAATGTTATTGTGTATGTATATATCTATCTTTTTCTGTATGTGTATATGTGTGTGGAGTAGGAAGTTTCAGAATGGCTGCAATCCACACTGGGGTCACTACTCGGTGTGCCTGACCCGGTCGAGAAAAGTCTGTCACAGAAGTCACGCTGTTTTGAAACTTACTACTCTACTCATACGCTTGCTAGACTGACACCCACCCCTGTATTTGTAATGGGTTATTATGTCATAATATGTTTGTGTATGTTTTCAGCTAAATAAAATTAACATGCATAATACAGATAACATAATTTCTGTGTGACAGATGAGTAGTTGGAAGGTGTGAACGTAAGAAAGGACTGCGCGCCCAAATTGTGACCCTCTGAAAATAAAATTCATGTGTAAAATCAGTCTTTCAGTGCAGCTAGTTCTTGTCATTTCTGAATGCTACCAGTGTGAATATATTTTTGTCACTGCAATTGTTCACATATCACATCTCTTGATCAAAGCTGCTAAAAACAAAAAACTTATAATTCATCTGCTTGATATGGTACAAAGGATTCTTTTCCCACATATCAAATTTTATATTACTTAAAGTTAGATTTTTCTCTAATTGCTCTCTCTTTACTGCCACTGCAATTTGTACCTGGCCTACATATGGCATCTTCTGTTAGTTTGGTAAAGATAAATAAACTGATTCACTTATTCTTCCTTTCCTTTGTTCTTTATTGTTTAAACAGTCCTAGTTTTGCAATTGTAATTACTTCTGAAAACTTTTTTCTCCTTTATAGTAAGTTCTTGCTGTTTGTTTGTTCACAATCTTGGAGTGACATCCTAAAATGGCCCGGTCAATTATCTGTAAATTTACTTGTTTCTATTTAAACTTTGATCTGCATCCTGCTGTTGATTTTGTCATTATTTCTGCGTTATTCATTGTCATGTTATCTTCTGCAGACTATCACTCCCACTATACACACATCACAAGTTAACTGATGAGATTTATACAAATAAAGTTCACACATTCAGTCTGCAAGAATTTCATGGACATCTTCTTGTAGACTGTGTCATAAAAACTACATAAATCTTAAACTTATATTTACAAAGTGTTTATTGTAGCATTTAAATTATTTTTTTCAAAAGCACAAAAAATGTCTTGCAGCAAAAGGAATCACATAAACATGTCATCGTAGTTGTCTGGTGGTCTCTCGTGATCTGGGTCAGGTCTGAAATGAATCAAAAATTTTTTATGTTCAGTTTTATTAACTGTACAGGTCGCTGAGTGAATTATAAAATACAGTGAAGTTTATACTAGAGACAACATTGTAGAAATATATTATTTAAAGCAATGAAAGATAAGAAGAAGAAGATTTATGATACATTTGTTTAGTGTATATGTTCAGGGTCATGTTATCACAATTGACTTCCCTGCAAATTAAGCATTCCCAGGCATGCTCAGTCCTCCAATGCAGCAGCCACTCCCAAGTTAACTCCACTAATTGTTCCCATGAGGTTATGTCTCCTATCTTGCCCTAGAAGGCGGCACAGATGTGCTTAACCAGGCATTTCACCAATGTTAAGTGTATATATTCATAGCTGTCGCACATTTATTTAGAGAGAGTAATGATAAAATGTTAACGGTAAATTTCTAAGAGTGGTGATCATTTGTTCAGAGTGTTTTAAACAAAGTTAACAGTTGTTTAGAGTGTGTTGAACACAGTTAACAGTTGTTTAGAGTGCTTTTTAAAAAGTCAACAGTTGTTTAGAGTGTGTTAAAGAGAGCTAACAGCTGTTGTGAGTGTGTTAAAGAAAGTTAGCAGTTGTTAAGAGTGTGTTAAACAAAAATTAGCACCTGTGTAGAGTGTGCTAAACAAAGCGAGCACCTGTGTAGAGTGTTTTAAACAAAGTTAGCTGTTGTTTAGAATGTGTTAAACAAAGTTAACAGTGAATATGTTCTAAAGAGTATATACACCATGGACAACAGGAAGGAAATCAAGAATTTAGTTGGTTTCTCGTCTCTCAGGTCGATGTAGTTGGTTTCTCGTCTCTCAGGTAGCTGGTTTCTCGTCTCTCAGGTAGCTGGTTTCTCGTCTCTCAGGTAGCTGGTTTCTCGTCTCTCAGGTAGCTGGTTTCTCGTCTCTCAGGTCGATGTAGTTGGTTTCTCGTCTCTCAGGTAGCTGGTTTCTCGTCTCTCAGGTCGATGTAGTTGGTTTCTCGTCTCTCAGGTAGCTGGTTTCTCGTCTCTCAGGTCGATGTAGTTGGTTTCTCGTCTCTCAGGTAGCTGGTTTCTCGTCTCTCAGGTCGATGTAGTTGGTTTCTTGTCTCTCAGGTCGATGTAGTTGGTTTCTTGTCTCTCAGGTCGATGTCGTTGGTTTCTTGTCTCTCAGGTCGATGTAGTTGGTTTCTCGTCTCTCAGGTCGATGTAGCTGGTTTCTCGTCTCTCAGGTCGATGCATTCCGACTGTGACAGAAACACCTCTTAGTCACCTTTTATGACATTCCAGTTTCAGTGCAGTGGATCTATCCCCCTCCCCCTCTCCCAATGGGGCCCTGCAACCCACACAGTGATTCTCTTTCTCCTCGGGGGCTGCAACAGGTTACAACTTGATAGCACTTGGATCAAAGTATTAAAAACTTGATGGCGGTGATCAAGTATTTGTAGCAAACAAAAAATCAAATGTATGCACTGTAAATTTGGTGATTATGTATCAAGATTTACTTACACGGGTCGAACTCCTGGTGGCCCCACAGGATCAAATCTGGCACCAGGGGGCACTGATCCACTGCGGAGAGAAAGCAGAATATTCACAACATCCCATTAACTTATAAATTTCCAATTTTGCTGAGAAAAAGAACATAAATACTGTCCTCTAACTAATTAGGGCTTTTTTTTCGATGTCAGAGTGCATCTTCTTGAGAGAGAGAGATGAACCAACAGTCTGCATAAAATAAGCCAGATCTGTGAAACGGATGAACATGCAAAACTCAAGTTCTGGGATAAGACCAAGGCCAGAAGTGGACAAACACCCAGAACTTTCCCCAGTTTACACACTACCTGTGAACGCTAAGAAGAGGAAGAAGACTTACAAACTACAAGTGTGTACTTGACTCAATTACAAATACTTATGTGCGTTTCTGTGACTCATCAGGGATTTAGCCTTCACAGACGGTTCTGGATGATTGATCATTCTTTCAGTTTGTTCTCTCCAGGCTGCTTCCTGAAGGTTAACCAGCCTGAGATCAAATAAAATCTCAATGTCAAACCAACAGGGCAGATCCAGATACCCGGTTCAACCTCCAGAGAAGTGATAGTTAGGGCCCCTGAAACAGCGACACCAGCCAGGTTTCATCTGCAGTCGTGTATGTTGGTATGGACGGTTCTTTATGATGTTTGTACTCAGTGTGTGCAGGAACTTCTACAGAGCAGGAAGACAATACAGCATGCTGGGTAGTCACGTATAAATTGCACAGTGGCAAGCATCGCTTTGTTCTTTGGATATGTTCTCCATGGTAGGCAGCAGTGGTGATCAATGAACAATGGTTGGTGAATTTATGCACAACAAGCTGGATGTGGTCAAGGTCCTTTGGGAGCAAGTGAACAATGTGGAAACTCAAACAGACATTTGTGGTCCGAAGAGAATGACACAGCTGTGAGTGACCAGGGGATGTGGTCGACACTCTACACTCTTGAGGAAAGGCAAGACAGAGATATAATCAAACTGTTACTGGCACCATCAGAATTGGAACTCTTTGCAGGCTGCTGAAGATGAGGACGGGGTACTTATGGGGAAGGCATCGAGTGCTGTGATGTCAGTTCTTAGGTCAACACAACACATTTTTCACATATGTGTGGCCATGATATCATTTTAGTAATCCAAAGAGATTTAACGGTGAATACTTACGGAGGAAACCCTGGTGGGTTGGGCCCCAGCGTCCCACCAGGCCTGAAGCCAGGAAAACTTCTAGGATCCATAAACATCCCACCACCAAGGCCCCCACTGAGTGGGTCAAGGTCTGCACGTCCAACGCTGAAAGGATTTGAGATGTCAGGCCTGCGAGTACAGAAAAGTCACAGATTTAAATTCTGATCTACAAGGATGTAACCCAAGGAACATGAACTATTTCCTACATTTCTGCTTCTTCTTTTTTCCCCACCTGTAAGCTCGGGCGGAAGGTCCTGGTTCACCGGCTGTAAGCTCCGACAGAAAGTCCTGGTTGTTCACCGGCTGTAAGCTCTGACGGAAAGTCTCAGTTGTTAACCAGCGGAAAGTTCTGGTTGTTCACCGGCTGTAAGCTCCGACGAAAAGTCCTGGTTGTTCACCGGCTGTAAGCTCCGGCGAAAAGTCCTGGTTGTTCACCGGCTGTAAGCTCCGGCGGAAAGTCCTGGTTGTTTACCGGCTGTAAGCTCCGGCGAAAAGTCCTGGTTGTTCACCAGCTGTAAGCACTGGAGGAAAGTCCTGGTTGTTCACCGGCTGTAAGCCCCGGTGGAAAGTCCTGGTTGTTCACCGGCTGTAGGCTCCGGTGGAAAGTCCTGGTTGTTCACCGGTTGTAAACTCCGGTGGAAAGTCCTGGTTGTTCACCGGCTGTAAGCTCTGGTGGAAAGTCCTGGTTGTTCACCGGCTGTAAGCTGCGGTGGAAAGTCCTGGTTGTTCACCGGCTGTAAGCTCCGGTGGAAAGTCCTGGTTGTTCACCGGCTGTAAGCTCCGGTGGAAAGTCCTGGTTGTTCACCGGCTGTAAGCTCGGGTGGAAAGTCCTGGTTGTTCACCGGCTGTAAGCTGCTGCAGAAAGTCCTCACTGTTTGTCCATTTGGACTTTGGCTTTGTGCCAGGGCCTGAGTTTTGAGTGTACATCCGTTTTACTGGCTTATTTGTGTGCAGTTGGTTGCTCCTTACCTTTTGGGCAGATGCACTCTTCGAAGGAAGTCACCGATTAGTCAACTCCTTGGACATGCTTGTTGGGGAGGCAGTGGTTCTATTCTTGTTGTCCCAACAATGAAGCCCCAGAACCCATACATCTGATATGGGATTCATCTCTCGGTGTCTATCAGTATATCTAAAACTCTTCTTCTCAGCACTCACCAGGTGTGTATCCCAGTGGAAAGTTCTGGCTGTTTGTCCACTTCTGGACTTTGGTCTTATGCCAGAACTTTAGTTTTGTGTGCACATCTGTTGGACAGATTTAGCTTGTTTGTGTGCAAACTGTTCATTCCTATGTGAAAAAACCCTAAATAGTTTTTTTTTTTTTTATTATATTCTTGGGGAGGGGGTGGTTGTCATGGACCTATTCACCCTCCCCCCCCCCCCCCCCCCCAAATGGGACACTAGAACCCACATGGGAAAGAGTAAACTATTTCCAAGTTGTTGTTTTTTAAAAACTATATTGGGCAATGCCATGGAAATTGAATTATCACAAAACAATCCACTTACTGAAAAGCATCGCATGATCCGTTTTTCTATATGGGTATGAATACTGAACACTGAGTAGCTTAACTGTGAAGAAACTAGACGCACTTGTGTTGTACTTTACAGGTAAGCTGCAATGTCTGCCCTTTTCAGGCAAACATCTGACTTTAACAAACATCTGACTTTAACAAACTCCTGATTAGTCACCCTTCATGACTTGCTTGTTACTGAGTCTATTCCCCTCCCCCTGGCAGTTGATACATTATGTTGTGGTTTACAGCTAGGCTGCAATACGTGTGCCTTTCAGCCCAACACATCCAATTTCAGCAAACCCCAAAATTAGTTGCCTCTTATGACACACTTCATTATTCTCCCCCTGCCTCCAAATGGGACTCCAGAATCCACACAGTGATTACAGCTTGTTGAACACCAGCCATGAATATGATGTTTATTACCTGAACGGATTAGGCGGAATAAATCCAACACCCCCGGGTCCAGGTCCGCGCCTGGGGTCTTCCATCAACGGTGACCTCTGAGAATCCACTCGAGGGTTGCTTGTATTTGTTGATGATGATGATCGGGCTGCACTTTGCTCTTTGGTCCCACTGATCATCTTTGTGTAGAGTTCTTTTGTGAGCGTAGAATTCAGATCTGTCAGGTTGCTGAAAGCCCTGTGATCAGCAAGATAGATAGTTTGGATAAACAATGATCACAATTTATTAAGGCTACAAACAAAATTTGAGATTACAACTATTCCATGTCCGCATATTATGAACACCTTCTACTTGACTTACGACCTATGCTGAGAACAATATAACTAGAATGTCTTTACAATGGAACCCACAGGGGCAGAGAAATAAATGCAGCCACACACAAAAACACAGAGAAGGGAGCTGCATAGTAAAGTTACAATAATGGGGAAGACATCTGGTGAGCTACATGCGATAGCAAATGAAAAGGTAGACTTGTCATGCTTGTTGTGGGCATATGCTCCACTTAGGGATAAAGGATAGAAGACAAAGAATAAAGACATGGTACCTAAGACTCTAACAATATCACCCACACACTTCTTCCTCTTCTTTGATTTCACAACTATACCGGCCAGCAGAAGGCAGCCTCACTGGATATATCTGTAATCAAAGTATTGAATGGCCATCACCAGCAGTATGTATGGCAGGCAGGTTTTTCTTTGTGAAACTTTCATCTCCAAACTCACCAAGGCTTTGGCAGGTGTTCCTGATTGGTTCAATTTTACAGTCCAAGTTGTCTACCTCATGCAGCCAGTCAGACCAATCCTCCTTAGTGGCCCTTGAGACATGAATGGTCAGTTAAAAAATGTTATTTTGGCTTCCTATAACACAGAAGCCGACTGTAGACTCAGTGAGTCAAAACACCTTCAGGCAGATCAGAACCCCGTGGTCCCCGCCTCGTGCATGTTCCTGTCAAAGGTGTCACTTACACCATGTGCCTATCTCCCTAACAGGGTCCAAATGTCTTAGGAGAGGAACTACCAGTGATACTTGGATCTAGAGAACTATTACAGTCATATATACACTGTTACCAGGTCCAGTTGAGTCAAGAATTGACATCACAGCACTCGGGGCATTCCCATGTGTGCTGCGCCCTCATCTTCAGCAGCCAGCGTGGAGTTCCAATACTGATGATACCAGTCACAAACTGGTTTATGTCCATCTCGCCTCACCTCTGAGTGTAATGAGCTGGCCAGACCCTCTGGTTACACCCAGGTGCCTCATTCTCTCAAGGCCATAATAATCTTGTTTTTCTACTGATTACGTTGATCTGTTACCAGCCCGGAGCATTCACAAGAATTTTACATAAAAAGAAAAGGTAGTATGTCAAATAACAGGCAGCAACCAGGAGGTCATAAGTCTAAAGAATCCGGACAAGAAAAGTGCTCTTACCTGGCAACTGTTGAACGGTCTTCATTGACATAATCTCGGGACTTGATTGTGGTACTCACAGACTTCTCATCAAAACAACGCTGCAGTAAACACAACAAGGAAAATATACCTCAACTATACTTTCAGTATATACGAAGTCTCCTCAACTTACAAACAAATTCCGCTCTGACAGGTCATGAGTCGAACACGTGGTAAGTCCTGTTGCTCTCATTTAATGTCAGAAAGAGGGTGCTAAAATGTTACATAGAACCTGTTCTGCTGTATGGTAGCAAATCTTGGAATGTCAGTGAATAAATTAAGAAGAATCTGAAAGCAACAGAGATGTGGTTTCTGAGACGAATGTTACAAATACCTTGGCCGGCCAGAGTAACTAACAACAATTGCTTGAAAGAGGCTTATGAAAGTAGATCTCTATATACAACAAAAGAATCCCCGTGTGGGTTCCGGGGCCCCATTGTGGGGAAAACAAGAATAGACCCACTGCCTCCCCAAAAGCATGTCGTAAGAGTCGACTAATTGGGGAGCTTCCTTTGAAGTCGGAGTGCATCTGCCGGAGAGGCAAGGAACCAACAGTCTGTATTCAAGAGAATAGATCTGTAAAACTGATGCACACGCAACACTCAGGTTCTGGAGCAGGACTGCAGTTCAGTAGTGGACGAGCAACCAGAACTTTCCGCCAGAGTGTACAGCTGGTGAATGCGAAGAAGAAGAAGAAGACAACAAAAGAAGGAGACACTGTTCTTTGGCCGTGTAATGAGAGGAAAGACATTGGAGAATATCGTGACAACTGGAAAGATTAGTGGAAAGAGAAGTAGAGGCAGACCAAGAGAGATGATACTGGATTGATGGAAACAATGGCATGGAGGGATATCATCAAGAGAGCTATTCCAGTCAACCAGAGATCGTGATCTGAGGAGATGCATGAATGCCACGCCAGTTGGCAGGGCACATGATGACGATGACGAATCAGTACTCAACCTGGGAAATCAAGATGGCTGGCATGATGTTGGCCACATGGCACAGCGAGTGCTGATTGGTTGACTGAAATATGAGTCTAGCATCATTTGCCGAATGTGCCACTGGCGTAATGCTTTAAGAATCGACATGTCAGCACACCGGGCATACCCCTAGGTGCTCTGTCTCCCGTAGCTAATGTCTGAAGATGTAGATGCTAACTGTTACTGTAGCACACTGATTATAAACTGATTGTTCTCAACCTATCATACTCCTATTTACAGCCTATCATCAAATTCTTTTGAACCCATGATCTTTGGATCTGAAAGCAAGTGTCTAACCACTACATCAAGGTGGCTTCCCTTCTCTCCTTGTAGTACTAGACAAAATTATTACAACATGAATTATTACAATCTTACCACGAGATGCAACATCAACATTCCATCCATAGCCAGAGCCTTCATCAAGTAGGTCCTGTTGGACGTTGGATCCACATAACGGAGTGCGTAAATACTGTCATCACTGTTCCAGTCTGCTGGCAGGGCTTCACTTCCTGTGTAGTTTTCATTCTGAAAAGTCGAGAATTTAAAATTACAAATACTCTTGTTTGGCCATGAAGCAAAAGACTACACACAATTTAGTTCAGTGCAGGAACCAGACAGAAGAGTTGGAGGCAGTTGGGTGGTCAGCACACTTGCCAGCTGGTCTTTTTCAAGAACAAGGAGACAATACTAAACTACAGTGCTCTCATTTCCCTCTTTAACGACCAGGGTGTGCAAACAATTCTTGACTTTTTAGACAGTTATTCTTGGTATGTCAGCCATACATGGGGTCCCAGCTAGTAGATAAACACCATCCGAAAGCACCTCCAGATTTTGTTTAGTGTCTAACTAAACCCGGAATCTGGATTGCTACTGCTGGGATAAGTTACTAATTGAAAATTACTTGATTTAAAAAAACCTGTTATCTCAAGAACCCTGATTCTCTAATGCCAATACTGAAAGTGAAAGTAAAATTTAAAGTTTGTAACAAATCAAATAAGTATTGGAAATAAATGTGCAGGCTAGTTTCACTACTTGATTCCTGTATTGGTGCAACAGAGTTCAGACTGTTGAAATTAGTCATTACTAACTGCGTCGTATTAATTTTAATAACCCGCAAAATGAAATGAGGTACTTTTCTAAGTCTAATGATTAGACTAACCAACAGTACTGAAACTGTCGATAGTAACTATCGGCACATGAGCTCTACGCGGGCTGCTGAAGATAGGGACCGAGTGTTTAAGGGAAAGTCTCGAGTGTTGTGGTGTCGCTTCTTAAATCAACTCCATTTACTACCGAAAACAGCGTACTAAGTACTTTAACACTTTAACTTAGTACTACGAAGTTATCAACCTACCTGTCTGTCAGGCCAAGTTTCCCCGCTGCCGCAACATCTGAGTCCGTTTGAAACCAAATTCCAGTGGACAGCCGCGATGGCAGCATCATCTGACGATCGTATTTGATTAGAAATACTGTTGTATAGAAGTTCGAACCCTGGTAGCGCCATGGGGACGGTTAATCGCCAACAGTTTGTAGTTTGTTGATGTTTTTGCCACTTCTCTCTATCAGTTCTCTTTCATTTTTGTTTGTCATTCGTGGACATCATAAAAACATTTACTGGAAAATTTGCTGCGAGTCAAATATAATTAAAGCAATGTTTTCCCTGTCGTAAATTTTAACAGACACAGTCATCATCATCATGTAGCAAGTCCTTTGCAGAACGTCGCTCTCATCACGGTCTGCCTGAAAAAAACTCGGTCTCTTGCCAGCTCACCCGCCTCATGTACTTTCATACTCAAGGAGTTAAGATGAGCTGAGTCAAGAATTGACATCACAGCACTCGGGGCATTCTCATGCGTGCTCCATCCTCATCTTCAGCAGCCAGCGCAGACTTCCAATACTGATGATACCGGTCACAATATGGTTGTCTGTCCGTCTTGCCTTTCCTCTGAGTGTAGTGAGCCGACCAGACCCTCTGGTTACACTCAGATGCCTCATTCTCTCCGGGCCATAATAATCTTGTTTTTCTACTGATTTCGTTGATTGTTCCCAAAGGGCCTTGACCACATCTGCCTTGTCATGTATCAATTCACGACCCAGTGGTGTAGATCCAGCCAATCTATCTGCATCTTCATTACCCACTACGCCGGCATTGAGAAAAAGATCCAAAGTATGCTCACTACCAGTATTCTTCCCAGTGAAGCTTGCACCTCACAATCGACAGAGGGAATAGCAGAGTCCCGGGGAATTTCAATTTACGAAGCGCACGGACGGGCACTAACCCGTGCATTTTACTTCACCTCGAAACCACACGGTACTAGAAGATCAAGATGAGGTGAGATGACGAGTATAAGAATGAGAACATAAGAAAAGTCAAAGTCTACATGGTCCTAATCCCCCTCCTTCACTTACCCCGTCATCAACATCGTGTAGCAAGCTCTTTCTAGAAGGCCCAAGCGAGGTTCTGAATTCTGAATGATCTATCTCATTTGATTAACACTCATCATCATCGTCAGGTGCCTTGCCGATTGGCGTGGGCGATCATGCCTCTCCATAATCTGCGATCTCCTGCAGCATGTATCAGTTCGTGTGCCGACACACCTCCATGCCATGCAACAAGACTGTCAAGCATCTTCTCACGTTGTCTTCCTCTATCCCTTTTTCCACAGATCTTTCCAGTGGTCACAACATGTTCTATTTTCCCTCTTCTCATAACATGGCCGAAAAATGATGACTGTCTCCTTCTGATGTCTGTGATAAGTTGTCTTCGGGCTCCCGCCTCTTTCAAAACCTTTTGGTTGCTCTTTTTAGCTGTCCAAGGTATTCTATGATTAACACTACGCCCCTCTATATCCTCTTTAGAGCTAACATTATCTCTGGCTGGCCTTTCTGTTGCAAGTATATCTGTCATTCGTGGTGATTATTTCAATGACGTTGATTGAAGAAACCACTGATCCATAGTTGTTAGATCATTTGCCTGCTAAGTCTATGGTCTTCGTTCAATTCCCAGCAGACGGTCATGGTTCAGTGGTGAGGCCTGTATGTAATGGCTGTAACCACCGCTTGAACAATTATTTTACTCAGAAAGAAGATGGACTCTCTCCATGTCGGTCCCCGGGCACCATTTTCGTGGTGGTTGGGGGGGGGGGAACACCCTACACCCAAAGCATGTCTTATAAGTCGACTAATTCATGGTGTTTTCATTCCAAGTCATAGTGTGTCTGCTGGGGGAGGCCAGGAACCAACAGTCTTCATTCAAATAAGCCAGATCTGTAAAACGGATGTGCACGCAAAACTTATTTCCTGAAACAAGAGCAAAGTCCAGAAGTGGACACAGTCGAGCATGAGACAAATGGTTTGACGACTTTGCCACGGAGACCCTCCTGATTTCATGAAAAGCTGGAGCAATTAACAAAGAACTGGGGTAGTTAGTTGCTGCATGCTGAATAGCAGTCTCAAGAGGTGCCAACACCTACAATCGATCACTAGAATGACTTGCCAACATGACCAACGGCACTAACTCTGTGTAGTCTAAAAGTCCCCTTGATTTACCCGAGTGACATCCCCTGTCCCGCGAAACGTTTCCGGAGAACAAAAACAAAATCACGTGACAGCCAAGTTTTGAGCTCCTTCTGATCAAGTTGGTATTCAAGTTTTAACTTTGATCGTTTTCTTTTGGATACGTTGGTTACAGCAAAGACAAGTAAATACGAGCGGCAGGCTGTCTTAAATGTTTAGTTTTGAATTATCGTTATATTGTAAAATGCATTTCTCTACACAACACTCTGCTAGTCTCTTAGGAGAGGCTAGCTAGAGTCAGAGTGCTAGAGAAGAGACGTTTAACAGTAACAGTAGTAAGAAGCTTCTCGGGGAAGCTTCAGTTGAAATATAGTATAGAATTTTAAATTAAAATTGTGAATACGTTTTTAATTAACGTTTTTAGTGCAGATGTTCAGATTGAAAACAAATTGGTTGTGAGTAAAAAATGTGGACTGTAAAGTGCATAAAACTGTTATAAAAAGTTGCACTGAGTGTTTTTATATCTGGGTCTCTCCCCAGAACGGCTAGCCAACTGCCGAAAAACCTCGCACAAAGCTCGAACTGACTAACTCTATAGCTGTAGCAATGATCCTCAGAGATGTCTGTATAACCGCACTGGTGAACGGAAAGTCTTGTTGGTAAAGTGAACTCATGACCTTCAGAGTGAGACAAACGGTGACCACTTCGCCAGGAAACCCCCTATCCCCCCCCCACACCCACCCAGTCTCCGCCTGACTGCATGAATAGCTCACGTTAACATGGATCTGGGACAGTAAGTCGCTATGCACCGAATGCCATAACTGTAACAGTATACTGTATATTACTTGAGGAGAAAGGCTCACTGGCTGACGTCTGCTGGCAGTGATGGAATTATCCAGAGTGCAGTGGTCATTGAAACAGAACTTATAACAAGTTCCACTGTAAAGCCAGTGCAGGAATTGGTCTCTAATCACCAGATGAGGTTGCTCCCTTCTGGGGATATTTTGGTTTCTTTATCTTTTTGTTTTTAGTCTTCAGAGGGAATTGGGGAAAAAAGGGGGGGGGGGGGCGATGGGCGGTCTAAACGTCTTGATTCTCGACTCTCATGTGTCTGTTGTACACTGAACCCTTTACAAAATTGTCAGTATGCACTACTACTAACCACAGTCATTGAACAAGTTTGCAGCTATGTGGATCTATATAGCAGCTAACTTTTTGTTTTGGGAAGTCATGTATTATGCACTCGGTGCATTGTGAGACTATTCCTTCAGGTGGTTGAGAGAAAGCCAAATTATATCTCCCAGACGTTTGACCCCTGACACCATCACATCATCCACAGCTTGCAGTCGCAGAGTAAATGCCCTTGTCAGCATATTATCTCTTAAGATCTCTGTCCAAAAAGGCAGGGAAAACCAGCACTTGCTATCCCTTGTATCCAATGGTTTCTGCCCCTTTCCACTCATCCTTTTTGTTGTTGCTAAAAATGATTCTTGCAGGATGCCAGTTTGGCTTTATTGAGAATTTGAATCATTACTTTATCTTGGGCGTCTGATGACAATGCCATTTTTGAAGTTGAACTGTCACAGAGAGCCATGCTGAAGAAAAATTATGGACACAGTACAAGGGAAGACCACATTGATGGAAAAACAACATCAAGAACTGCCTTAAAGAAATGAAGAGTGGCTTGTACACTGCATTAGAAGGGGAAGACCACATAAATTACGAAGAGTGGCTTGTACACTGCATTAGAAGGGGAAGACCACATAAATTACGAAGAGTGGCTTGTACACTGCATTAGAAGGGGAAGACCACATAAATTACGAAGAGTGGCTTGTACACTGCATTAGAAGGGGAAGACCACATAAATTACGAAGAGTGGCTTGTACACTGCATTAGAAGGGGAAGACCACATAAATTACGAAGAGTGGCTTATACACTGCATTAGAAGGGGAAGACCACATAAATTACGAAGAGTGGCTTATACACTGCATTAGAAAGGGCACAAAGCAGATCCTCACATCTCCCCCAACACTTCAGAGAAGATAAAGAAGACAATCTCAATGTCCTGTTAATTAGGTGTTTCTAGGCAGTTGTTGTTAGTTCCTCTGTGACTGTCCAAGGTGTTTGTAACATAAAAAACAGGAGGAGATATTTATGGTGCATCAGAACGCTTCTTAATTTGCTCTCGACCCTGACACTTAAGTAGGATCACATCAGACCCATCTGTAGCAGCTGCATATGAATCCTGAAATAAACTGATGAAGTCCCATGACTCATCCTCCTGTGGTGGATTTAAACTTTAAAACACGGCAAACCGAGATTGCAGTCACTGATAACTTGATGGTGGTTGTCTCCCTTGCTTTGTTTCATTGTCTCCTCCCTAACACCTGTAAGGTTGTAATTACATATCAACATAATATTATAGTACAGCAGGCGTACTTAACATAAGTATATGTACTTCATTGGTGTTGTGTAGTAGTGATGTTGCATATAACTGATGTTGCATAGAACTGATGTTGTGTAGTGATGGTGTTGTGTAGTACTAATGTTGTGTAGCATTGCTGTTGTGTAGTACTGGTGTTGTATAGCCCAGGTGTTGTGAAGTACTGGTGTTGTGTAGTACTGGTGTTGTGTGGCATTGATGTTGTGTAGTACTGGTGTTGTATAGCCCAGGTGTTGTGAAGTACTGGTGTTGTGTAGTACTGGTGTTGTGTGGCATTGATGTTGTGTAATGCTAGAGTTCTGTTGCACTTAGGTCGTGTAGTGCTCGTGTTGTGTTGCACTGAAGTCGTGTAATGCTGGTGTTGTGTTGCACTGAAGTTGTGTAATGCTGGTGTTGTGTTGCACTGAAGTTGTGTAATGCTGGTGTTGTGTTGCACTGAAGTTGTGTAATGCTGGTGTTGTGTTGCACTGAAGTTGTGTAATGCTGGTGTTGT